TTCCCCTTCAATAATATAGTTAGGGAGCTAAATAATTTTGTTTTTCAATTATCGTTTCTGATTATATAAGAATCACAGTAACTAGTCTTTTTCAACTAAAATTACTTTTTTAATCATTTTCTGCCAGTTTTCTTCGGTAATATTAGATACTTCTTCTTTAACTAGCTCTATTACCTTTTTATCAAATTTTGGAAAATCATTTTTACGCCTGATGCTTTGTTTTAATTTTCCCCAAATCATCTCGATGGGATTGAAAACACAAAAATAGGGGAAAGTCTCAGTATGGTGTGTCCATACTTTTCAGCAATACTCTCAAGGGCATATACTTTTTCAAATGTTTTTGTCTGTAAAACTTCAAGTAGTTGGTTTTTGGTATAGTTATCTTAAAAATACAAATTGTAATCCATTAAAAAACTTTGTATTTCATCTTGTCTCGAATTTTTATTCGGTACTTTCATGAGCTGTCGCGAATGATAGGAAGCGTTGTCAAGAACTATTACTTTATTCGCATCCAAATTTGGGATCGATGTGTTTTCAAACAATTTCTCAAAAATATTAGCTTCTATGTTCTTATGATAGTCCTCAAGTTTTTTCCACATAATTTCAAAGAATTCGGAACCCATCCTTTACTTCATCCGCAATGCACAATGATTAGTCGCGATCCTTTGTTTGCAGGCATGTTAGGCGTACACATTCTCGAACCATCAGTCCACCCTTTCGTAACTGTGTCGTGAGTGTCATACCAAGTTTCGTCCCAATAGAAAATTTGCCGTTGTTCTTGTCTATATTTAGTTATTTGTTCTAAGTATTTGTTACGCAATTCCACTATTCTTCTGTTTTCCATAACTGCTTGACATTTGTTTATTATTTTGAATGTATATCCTAGTTTTTTATCTAATTCTGAAGAGTTTTGTCACAGCAGCTCACGTTATGGCCGGAAGTATTCAATTTCTTCCTTATGATTTCAGTTGTAGGAATCTCATTACTTTTGTAACAGTCGTATATTGTTTTTTTTTTTCATTGATTTTATTAGATGAACATCTAAAGGTTTTGGTAATCATCACATCGTGTCTTGTGTTCATAAGTTTTTTTTGACTATTTTACTTACAGTTGAGAAAGGAATTTCGGTAAAATCTGATGTTGCTTGCAATAGTTTGTTTACGTCGAAACCAAACTTGGGATGTAGATTCTTATATACATTGAAACATATTCTCTGTGTTTCAATATTCAACTGCATCGGAATCTTATTCACTGGTATTTCTTTTTCGCATTATTCACCACCGCTATTGGAATCACTACACAGGAAAAAGTCTGCGTTGTTATCACACTCGTTAATACTTTTAGTACTTGTCCAAGGACGCCACATTTTAAACAGATAACAAAAATTTTAAGTAATTACAACTGCACCAATATCGAATTTCAACACTCAAATCGCGATCAATTCCTGACCTGAACATTGACGACACAACGGCGATACTCATCTCCGCATTCTATTTGTCACCGTAACATGACTTCATATTTAATTTAAAGACTCTTCTGTAAAAATTATCCAATATGAACCGCCAATTCTTCAGTCCACGTGGACTGGTTGGCAGCGGCATTATTTATCTGTATTGGTTTTTTTGGCCTTTGAGATGCCGATAGCTTCAACTATTCACAATACAGGTTACTTCAACTATACACTGGCACATTTTAAGTTTCGACCATTAAATGATCTTTCGGTTCAATGTTTTGCGACAAAGCTAAGGCTAACGCGATTGAGGATATGTTCCAAAAATAACAATCGCTACTAAGCTGAATTTTTGACAACGGTTTACCTGGAAAATATTTTATTTTTGGTTTCTTTTGGAACAAGACAGTCGTGTCCATTGTCAAGTGTGTCTTCAAATAACTCTTTTTTGTGAGATTTTCACTGAACAGCTTACAAAACCTCAACGGGTGTTTCGAGATACAATAGATTCCTCAGACGTGTTCAATGTTACTGAATTCTACCTAATTCGTGCTTTATACAATATATTATCAATTTGAATCATATCACCTTCTATTCAATCATCAACTGATAATTTTACCAGAGTTAGGTATGAACTGATTGAAAATTCAAGTACAATAAAAAAAACTACTCACTTGATGACTAATACTTTTATCAGACTTTAGGTATGAATTGACCAAAAATTTGAACATTTTATTAACTCATCAACTGAACATATTACCAACTAATTACCAATTTCAATGATGAATGAATATATGTTTTCTATTACGGACTAGTAATTTTAGTTCAGGTATAACTCATTAACTAGACATGTTTACCAATTTTTATTATAAATGGATATATTTCCTAATGTCCAATAACTTTATCAGAGTTCACGTATAAACTAATCAAAAATTTAAACATTATAAAAGAAATTGTATCGACTCATTAGCTGGACATGTTATAAACTAATAATTTTACCAGAGTTTAGGTATAAACTGATTATAAAAGATATTTTATCGGCTCATCAATTGGACGTGTTATAAACTAATTACCAATTTCCATGATGAATGAACATGTTTTCTAATGTGTACTAATAATTTTGCCAGAGTTTAGGTATAAACTGATTAAAAAATTCAAACATTATAAAAAAAATTGTATCCACTCATTAATTGGTCATGTTTACCAATTTTCATTATAAATGGATATATTTCCTAATGTCCAATAACTTCATCAGAGTTTACGTATAAACTAATCAAAAATTTAAACATTATAAAAGAAATTGTGTCGACTCATTAGCTGGACATGTTATAAACTAATAATTTTACCAGAGTTTAGGTATAATATAATTATAAAAGATATTTTATCGGCTCATTAATTGGACGTGTTATAAACTAATTACCAATTTCCATGATGAATAAACATGTTTTCTAGTGTTGACTAATAATTTTACCAGAGCTTGTGTATAAACTAATTGAAAACTCATTTATAAAAGAAATTTCATCGGCTCATTGACTGGATATGTTATAATTTAAATACCAATTTCCATAATGAATAAACATGTTTTCTAATGTGGAATAATAATTTTACCAGAGTTCAGGTATAAACTAATTACAAAACTAAACATTATAAAAATAATTTTACCAACACATTGAATGGACACGTAACAATTTCCATATTAGAAAAGAGAGTCTCTTATAATGAAAATTGTAATTGTAATAATGATCAAGTTTTTAATTCGTTCATAACAAAACTCTAGTAAAATAATTAAAGATTAAGTAGGTAGTTTCTGTTATAATTCTTAAAGTTTTGATTAGTTCATATCTGAACTCTGGTAATAATAGTCATTAATTACGTAGAAGGTCATATTATTATATATACTATGTTCTTATGATAGTCCTCAAGTTTTTTCCACATAATTTCAAAGAATTCGGAACCCATCCTTTACTTCATCCGCAATGCACAATGATTAGTCTTTCGTATAACGAAACATATGTTGAAGTTTTGTAAACTGTCTAGTGAAAATCCCACAATATATTGTTGAGTAAGTTATGGATTTTCATCATGTATCTGCCAATTCCATCACATGTGTCAAAAGTGTCACTAATAAGAGTCACTAGTTAAATTATTTTCATTTGAACATTGAATTATTTTTCCTATTCAGTTTGCACTCCAAAAATTCATCTATTATATATTATATCGTATTATATTAAATTTATAACATACTGTTACAAAAAACATTCACCGGAGGGGCCCACAAAAATGTTCCTGAGATCACTAACATATCTTAATGCGACTCTGTCGCAATAAGAATTGGTTATTTTGAAAAATTTAGAAAAGTAACTTTCCCATATAATTAAAAGGGCATTTATAACGAAACACACTGTACAAGAGTTTTCATGATTGTTTGCTACTGACAATTTTTCCAAGGCTATATTTGAATCCAATCTCTTCATGATTTCGCGCCATATTTATTTGCAAAATACAAAAACAGTAGAAATAACTCGGCAACTAAAAATAGCAGAAACAAATTTATTCTGTATGCGATTGCTGTCTGTTTTCCAACACAGAAATCTAATCTAGGAGTTGTTTATTAGTATTTCCGTTCTTGCTTTGCCATATTACAGACGTAACAACTTAATGTCAAGGTGGAATCACTTTTATATTTTAAATCGATAACGCCTTTTGAAACATTGCGCTATCAAATCCCAGGCGGAATTTTCCGATAAGATTCGAATTTGTTTCTGTAGTGTCCGGCGTTTTTGTGATTCTGACTTAAAGCAACACTTATACAGTGCAATTCTTCAATGTCCCCCTGCTTTAGTTAAATGTCAATATATTCAGGCAATTATTAAAAGTTCCGCCATTTTGTAGTAGTTGAAGATATTGACATCATATTCTGGGGTTGTGAAGCATTTGTCAGGAGCTTCAAAAAGATTTGTCACAAGACCCCACCTTTCCACTTAATTTTTTCCCCAGATAGCACCCAGTCGCCATCTTGAAACTTTCATCTGTCAATTTCACTTCCAAATAAAGTATTCATGCATAAATTTCATTATCCCAAATTTCAATTTTTTGAGTTGACCCGTTCAAAAAATAAAAGGGGGGGACATTAAAGAAAAGCACTGTATGAAAGTAGTTGTTTGTGAAAAGTTTATTTTGAAATTAAATGGTTTCTTAGAAAGATTCGCACTTTTTTGTATATAGGTCGAGAAGTGGAAAGCTTTTTTTGTTTTTTTTTTGTTTTTTGAAAATGAAACGCCCTGTACAATAGCAAAGGTTAGCATTCGGCCGATTACAATGGAAAAGTAAGTTTCAATTCAAATACTCATCATCTATCAAAGGTAGTACATCGAATGAATTGTTATGATGAATGAAAAACGAAAATTAAAAAAAAGTTCGTCTCTCAATAATGGTTTTCATACTATAGGTTTCGTGAACAAACCTTGAGATGAGAGTCACAAATAATGTCGCGCATTTGAAACGGTTTGTTTTTCAACTCTAAAAAAGACAAATGTATAAATGGACTTACCTCTTCTTCCATCAGTTTCAATTTGAGAACAATATCCCTCATCAACGGGACATCTAAAAAGAGCCCCCGAATGGTTAGTGCCTGGCTGGAGGTTCCCTCCTAAGGGGGCGCCAACGAGAATCCTATAAAATTATTTGATATAGTGCGTTCTTCCAAAATCAAACAATTGCTTATCATTGATTTTTATTATATTTACATTCATGGTACAATGAATATAAAACAAGAATAAAAGTATATTTTCAAATATCCCGTTTTTTTTTGTTTTCTTATTGATAAAAGTTAGATGAAATAATTTTTTTTGATCCATGGTGTGATCCACCATGGATCCATTTGATGAAACGGTTGTGGTGAACAAGAGGAGCTACTCGAACTTAGCACTAATGAGGAGCTGAGGGAGAAATTTAAAAGAGGGTATCTAACATTTTGTCTACAGGCAGAAACACTCGAAAAATATCCTGGACTATGAGGAATTGCGAGAAAGGTTTTAATGGCATTTCTCTAGTCATATCATGTCGAAAAAAATGTTAGTGTAGTTACAAACCTTTTAACCATACTCCCCCAGACCTCTCGCTAACCGTACGATATTTTCAAGCACTTCGATAACTTTCTCACGGGTAAAACCTTCGCCAGGCAAAAACGTCAAACGGCCTTCGTCGACTTCATCAAATCCCGAGTCCGCACTTTTTATGCTGACGGAGTTGATCGATTTGTGTTACGCTGGAGAAACTGCACTAACTCAAGTGACGATTATTTCGATTAAACTGAATAAGGGTTCACTTCGATATTATAATTTAAAGTAGACTCATAAAAACCAACAGAACTTTTGAAACAACCTAATATTTAGAGTATTATTCGAGGTCAATAGGTAGTTCCTATTAAAAACACGCCGTATAAAGTCTATTAACCATTGATAATTATATAATTCCAAATAATTTGCATTTTTCAACTATCACATTATATTTTATAATTTTTTTTCATTAATTGTGTATCTTTTCATCAAATAACACTTACCTACTCGTGTAAATGAAAAGTTATTAAGGGAAATTAGATTAGATTCGATTGTCGGGGAGCTGGCCCGTGGCCTGATTAACTGCGACTTTTTCGGATCTATTGTGATGCTCCTTGGTTATTAGAGCTCATTGTCTAGCTTGATCTCTTTGATGAGACTCCATAGCCTTGACACTGATCCCTTCATATAGATAGCAGCCTCTAGTTTCTCTACCCCGCATCTTGAGTGTCTCAGCCCTGCTATCGCTTCGCATTCACAGAGCACACTCAGTGCGGTTTCTTCCTCTTCTTGACAGAACCTGCATCGACTATGCCCCGTTGGTAGACCCACCACTACCCTTACAAGCTTACGGTTGTGGTTTGGCAGGTCTTCTGTGAATCTGGGCGATGGTTTCTTTATGAACTCTTTCGCCTGCCTCAGTTGCTGAGAGCTTATTCCACCAATCTATCCACCAGTCTTGAGAAGACTTGAAATGAGCTGAGCGCCTTAATTGCCACCTGGCCTGCCTGTTTATTTCCCCTATACAGTGTTCGATGGCTGCTACGTCTGCCTGGAACACTATTGCATTATGTCCGAGGCTGAGTGCGATTCTCATCTTTGCTGGGTCTCCTTCTTGGGTCTTTGAGCCATCTGTATACCAAGTTTCTTCCGCTTTTACAGGTGGTCCGTTTTGCCAGTCCTCCCTACTTGGTATGATGATTTTGAAATATTTTTGAAAGTTGTACTGCGGAACTCTGTTATCCACGGGCATTCCTAGTATTATATCTGCCTTCAGTTCATTGTACAGTTTCAAGTGTTCTGCACTTTGTGACTGGCTGATTGTGGTTTGCCCCTGCATTAGCCTGTGTGTCACCGCCGAGCTTCTCTTTGTATGTAGGTAGATGTGCTGGTGGGAGTCCGAGTAGGACCTCAAGTGCTACAGTTGGGGTCGTTCTCGTGGCTCCCGCGACATGAGAACGACCCCGTTAAGGAAAATACTTTAATTGCATTTCAAGTAAAAAAATTTAATCAATATCACAACAAAACAGACCAGAGATGTTGAGGAATAGAAGATAGAGGTTTACTGGGGCCGTACCCTATCAAAAAAAAAATATTTCAAAAAAGTTTGCAAAAGAAACGTAAAGAGCACCGATTCATCTTCATTTTTCAATCGGTTAAACAGGTCTAGAGCATTTAATCACTGTTATACTCTGTAACTTCAACTGTTTCATCGTATTTATGAAAAAAGGGAGCTGATGGATTTTTCTTTCTGAATAAATCTGAAAAAAACCACCTGTGAAGAACTTTCACTGACATTTTTCACAATATTTTCCTACATGTTTGTTTGAAGGTGATTGACAATGTTTCATGATGAATTTCACTAGTTCGGACTTCCATTGTCTACTATATAAAGCACAAGAAACACACACAGCGAGGGGAAACCAGCAAATCAGGAATATCAGACCATGTTAACATCGAGTGGTCCCAAGCTGAGATCTTGCACAGAGAGGAACATTGGTTTAGGAGAAAATTCAAGGAAGCCGCGTACATGTTGTCCAACAACATATTCAGCCAGGCCAGCGTAGAAATACGCAACATATGTAAACCCATCATCAAGCGAAAAATGGCCAACTCCCGCCAAAACGGTCATCTCCCACGGAAGCAGTGAAGCGGAAAATGGAAAGCAGGGATAAGTGAAAGTATTTGAACGACCTATAAACAGTCATCTCTCGGAGGAATCAGTCCAGTCATCACCCGAAGACGATTGTAGATACTAACAATCGAAACGTCGTGAACTAACGTGACTTGGAATCTCTACAATTTTTATTGTTATTTTCTTTTTTCATTCCTTTATTTTTATTTTGTTTCTATTTATTCAATTGTTATATTTTTACTTGTAGTTTATTTCACTATTATTTCATTTCAGGTTTATTTTGCTTAATATAATTGTTATTTTCAGCTATTCATTTTTAATTATTCTTTTTTAGTTGTTTCAGGGATTTCAAATCATTTTATATAGTAGACAATGGAAGTCCGAACTAGTGAAATTTTCCTACATTCTTCATACAGGGCGAATCATAAGTGATACCTTATATTTTATGAAAAAAAAAATCATATAAACGTAAAACCCAACTCGCTTCGATTTCAATAAATAAGTAGTCAGAATTTTAATTAGCTAGAGACTTAGTTTATATTAAAAACTCACAAATAATTGCGGCGATTCTTTATTAATTTATTTGCAGATACAATTTGGTCTTTTTTATATAACAAATTTAAAATGATTTGAAATTCCAGTGGCGTATCAGGGGGTTGTCTAGTTGATATTTATGATTGAAATCCTTCAATATTCACACTTAGGTTCTCGATGGGAAACATAAAAAGTAATTCCTTTTATTTTCTTGAGCCTGGAAATAAAATTAAGCAAAAGATTGAGTTGATTTTCTTCATTTTTTTCCAAAATGTTGCCTAATTACTTCAAAGCTGAAATACATTGCCAAACCCCTTTTGATTCTTTAATCGTATCCAAAAATTTTGTATAGGAATAAAAAAAGGATGAACATTTAAAAAATGCTTTAAAAAAGGCGGTTTTCCAAGAACTCAATCGTTTTGCTACATAGAAAATTGGGTACTGTGGGACTTAAAATTCAACCAAGAAACTCTACAAATCCTTCAACTTGTCACATACAGCTTAAATTAACGATTTCTCTCAAGTATATGAACTACACATCTTTGTAGTTAATGGCATATCGTTCACCAATCATGTCTAATTATGTTTTTTAATTTAATGATATTGTTAATCAAAATCCATGCTGTTTATAGGTATTCTTTTAAAATTTTGTCAAATTTACCAATTTCGTAAACTTTCTGCCATTTGGTATTTCTGGTATTGGTGTAATTAGGTATATTTTATAAATACCTAAATACACCAATAAAACTATAAGTGGGTGTACATTCTTAATCTAATCTCAGTATCACCTCATCTAAGATTATCCTTTTGTTCATACAACAAATTTATTTATTAAGAAATTCATTGTGATTTGAAAACATATATTTTGGAGGTAAATCCGGAATGTTTTACGATTTCAAAATACATAGATGCACTTCACATTACTAAAAATATATGATGTGGGTCAGCATCATTACTCATCTCATGAGTTTGGTAATCCTAGGAATTCATCATGACTTTATTGTAAGTCACGACGTTATTCAACAAAAAGTGTTTCAATGATTAATTAACAAGGTAAACTTACGAATAGTCACCAATGTTTTCACTGATCTCCTTTGTAGAGTGCTGTGCAATGCTGAATCCAAAATACGATCCATTTTCTTTGAAGGGGGAATTTTTCACTAACGGATCTCTGTCTTCGAAATTGAAACATGAAACTATATTCTGGAAGTTCCACAATAAAATCGCATTTATAAATAAACTGTGATGTGCCAGAAACATTTTCGTAAAGGCACTTATTTCAGTCTTTCGTATTTCTTAGTCAAGTCGGCGTTTTTGCAATTGCAAACGGATAATGTATCAACTAGTCATAAGCTCCTGGTTTTAATTCAAAAATTCGTAAACGAACCTTCTAGTTTTCAGTGAAAATATTATTATAAAAATCAAAACATAACCCGAACCAACCCACAGCGCCCACACTCATCACTTTGAACTAGTCTGAAGTCTGACTGAACTCGGTGAACTCTGCTTCTGCACCGCGCAACTATTACAGCGTTGCCAATTACAGGCGCGCTTTAAAATTATCTTCACTTGATCTTGAGCTTGTAACCATTCCTAATGAGCTTTGATAAAATTAACTCAAAAATATGTTCACAACTATCAATTTTCATTTAAGAATTGGTTCATCTCTTCACTTGAAGACATCATAAAAGAAAAATGCGACTTTAACATTTAAAGTTTTTCACTATCTAAGATAAAGCCAAAAAAATGCAATATTTTTTCATCATACATATAGTATTGGTTTATGAGGACGTTTGGATTCATTTCACAGTAATTCCTGCGATATTATTTATAATTATATGGTATAAAGGGCAATTATAATGTGCAAGAAATACTTTAGGTAACTAACGTATCTAATTTGATAAAGATCAGTATCGTAACTAAATAGCTTTCTAATTATCACATTATTTAGGATCTAATATATAAAATGATGTATTCAGTTGATAGTTTCATCTAGTACCTACTAGTCCTAAGAATGTTGTTCCTGTTGTAGAAATAGTTAAAGTAAGACGATGTTTTTGCCAGTTGTGAAATTTAATAATCTGTGTCATCGGTGCATTCAGGTACACAGTCATTTATAAAGTTTGAAGCTTTTTAACTTTTCTGTTGAGTTGCAATTTCATCCTTGTCTGATATTATCAACAAGGTGTCATCAGCATACATCGTTATATCCCTGTGAGAAACTGTTTTGAGATGATTCGCATACAATAGAAAAAAATTTGGCCCCAGTATATACCCTTGTGGAACTCCAACTGTAACCACTTCAGATTTAGAGTTGGTATATGTGATTTCCTCGGAAACAAATCCAATTAAGGGTTGAGCCTCTGATTCCGTGATTGTGTCTTTGATAATACAAGTTGGTAATAAACCTCACCCAAATAGCGTCGTTATCTGGGCAAAACTAATACATAACAACAAAACATCAATGAGTTATACACATTAACCTTCCTCTTGACTTCATCCATATGAAAATCTGTATTATAGTTTAATTTTGTAACATTGCCAACAACTACTGTCTTATCAGTTCAGCTTTATTGTAAATGAAACACTTGTAAAAGCATAAACTTGAAATCAAGTGTGGAAGGCTAATTGCAAATGTCATTAAAAGTTATATTTTCAATTCTTTCTATAGAGATAGATATAAATACTGCAACATCGCATTGATTTTTAGTTCTATTTGAACCTCAGAGTTTTTTGTTACTCTGAGATTTGAACTATAAGTTTGTTCTGGTTTTAACATCCGAAATGTTTGAAAACTGCGCTAGACATGATGACAGACAGTCCGAAATAGTATTGAACACTTGTTAAACCAGAACCACAGTATTTTGTATATACAGAAATACTGTGCCAGAACACATTTTGAAGACACTACTGCGCTATCTATCGCTTATATGAAGAGTTTTAATTTGGCAAGCAGGCAGGCAACTTCGAAATATATTATAGTTTGAGTTGTCCTCAGAGTAACATTACACTATGGAGTACACTGGGTGTTCACATTATGACGTATGATACTTCAGCCTTGTTGATTTTTTCATTTTCTTCATCATTTTTGCAACCATGTCAAATTAAAATCGAGTGAAATGAAAATAATATGATTCTCTCAGAATTGTTGATAATCAACAGCAATAATGAAAATAAAGATGTAGATAAGTTTTTCAGTGAAGAGACTCTCGCACATTTCAAGAATTATAACAATGGACTAACACAAAACGGAACCCCACGATGGCATATGGTATCCGCGTATCTTCTTTGTGGACGGACGTTATCAGATTTCGGCAAGCGTTCGATGATCTATTGTTATTGTTTTAGTTGCTCTATGTTTGTTAGGATCAGACAATTTTTTTTAGTTGTTACTTATCGTATTCGAATGGTTTTGGTTGAATTTTAGATATTTTTTGCAAAACTTTCAGTGTCATTTTTGGGTCTTGTTTGTCATTACATACTATACTTGTGATACATTGTTTGGAAAATTTGGTGTGGTAGTGAATATTACTGGAGTTTTAACCCAACATAATTGTAATTTACAGTTCCTGTTACACTGTAACCAACGAACTTATCAAAGCAGAAAGCAAAATTGTTTGTCTTGATATTATTATATACTAGAATCTAACCTAGTCTATACTAAACTAATAAATTTACAATAGGTACGGGGTATTTTTTCCAAATATTAATTGCACTAACTTTGGTTAGTTAATGTTTCAAAATAATTGTTAAGAATGTATTGAGAAGGAATACATACATACGTAGGAGTTTTAATTATCTCTTGATGCTAACTTGGTTAGGGGAAGGCGCGTCGAATGACAGTATTCCTGTTCTGATGTGAGAAAAGAGTTTTCAATACACGACAATCTGAAATTATACATTTCAAATACTCTCGCCTCTCGCTTTTTTAATGCCACTTCAACGCTGCTATGGACTTTCAGAAAGCCGAATCGGTGTTCCCCTCTTTATCTTTACAGATTCCTTTTCAATATATACTTTTCCATACTGTCAGCTTCCTCATTGTTTTTTAAATGGAAAGTAATTGAAATTTTTACTTTCAATAGCAAATGATTGGAAAAGTAGATTTATGTTCATTTACAATGCATCATAATCTGCATTATAGCACTGCCATCAATAACGAAAGACATGCCCGAAGAAACAATTTTATGACGAAACACGTAATGCGTTTTTGTAAAACTGTCTGGTGAAAATCTCACAATAAAGTGTTTTTTGAATAAGTTATCAATAACAATGTCGTTTGGAATATGACAATACTCACAAACGCTCTCGAATATCTCAATTTCCTAAACTAAAGAGTTCAAAGTCTAATGAATTTTATACAGCTTTTGAAATCTGAACTACTGAAGTCTACGTTGCTTTTTCCATGTAAGACTTCGGATGGAAAAATTTTCAAGTATCAAGTGTTAAAACTAGTATTTCATTCACGCTTCTATTGAAAACAAATAATAAACTAAAAACCATTGGTCAAAAATCAACACTAGAATTTGCTAAACTGCTATAATATTTTATAAATGTATTGCTGCAGGTTTTCCGGGTTTTCCTGCAGTTGAAAAAGCAAGTGCGCCACTGGAATTAATCAAGTCACCCCGGAGCGTCATTCAATTTTTATTGTCGTTTCATAATTTTATGAATTGTATTACTTCCTTTTTTTTCCATAATATTGAGAAGACAACGGTAAAAAATTCCAAAAAAGAGAATGCTATATCTACAATCATTTTACGTTATCTTCGATTCGTCATAATCAACAAATATCTATTGAATGTATAGATTATTTTTGATTATCTTTCCATTTTTTCTTTCAGCTTTTATCGGTAAGACGGTAAGGTCCTGTGTTGTCCGTGGGCTCTAGCCTAATTGGAATGTTTCGTGATTCATTCAGTGAAATACCGACTAATAGGAAGTAGCGTTTATTATTAAATTTATTCTTTTACATAACTTGAACATGTGGTCTCGTACACCATTTTATTTCTCTATATCAAGTGTCAACTGTCTCAATTGACACTTGTCACTAGAGTGCGTTTTAATATACCACAGAAACCATAACCTTTTTGAGAATCTCAAGTTGGTTACTGTCAACCTAAATTTTCGTCGAGTGGTTAATGAATTTAAACAGAGCTAGTTCGGTTGGAATTGTTGAAATATTGGCCTAACAACCTGCCTAGTTTCAAATTATTTGAGTTTACTGCTGAAAATAGGTTACAGAAACATAAAAGTGTCTCTTCTGTAAGGTATTCTATGGTTCTACGCCAACTCAACTCCCTCTAACGGAATCATTTGGATTGAACGTTAAGAACTGGCAACGGGCCCGAAAATCACTTCTGTTTTTCTTTCAAGTCCAACTTTACAATGGCGGTGAGTTGGTGAATTTTTCAATAAACGAATTTCTTCAAACATCAGTTGATCGTATATAATTTTTAAATTGGTTTCATATAAAATTCGTGTCTAAAGTGCACTCCAATAATTTTTTTGCAATATTTTCAGGAACACCAAAAACTAAACCGTGTTTTCATAGTCGAAACAAACATAACCTATATAATGGATAAAGAATTGATTTTACTTTTATTTTCAGGCCTCAGACAAAAAAGAAGTTAAGGACAAGACCAAGAACCCCATGAGGGAATTGCATATCCGAAAGTTATGCTTGAATATTTGTGTCGGAGAATCTGGTGACAGACTCACGAGAGCTGCCAAAGTAAGTTCTCAAGTATACATTTTAAACTATTACAAGAACATTTCCAGAAAATGTTTTTTATAAAGGAGAAATACCGAAATTTCTGCAATTTGTTATTTAATAATGTTTTTCAGGTATTGGAACAACTTACTGGACAACAGCCTGTTTTCTCCAAAGCCAGATATACTGTTAGGTCTTTTGGTATCCGTCGTAATGAAAAAATCGCTGTACATTGCACAGTCCGTGGTGCTAAAGCTGAAGAAATCTTGGAGAGAGGTCTCAAAGTGAGAGAATATGAATTGAGAAGGGATAACTTTTCAGGTAAGCCATCAGTTTTCGTTTCTGTTCATGAGTGTGCTGTACCTTCCAAGTAGATTTTACATTGAGAATGCATTGCTTCTATATTGAAAAATGAATAGATTTTATTTTCATGAAATAAATGTATGTTCAATCTCCTCAAAGTTGTTTAGGAAAGTAGTAGCTATTTATGCTGACCACACTGTAAAATTATTAGAAGATAAAATTTGAAACGTTTTGTTGAAATTTCGTTTCTGTGACACTTGCTAGCTAAGAAGACATTGGCACTCATAAGTGGAAAAATTGACTATTCCAGGCTCTTACTTTTGCCAAAGATGCGAACGATTATTCTCTTGCCACCTTTTATGTAATGCAAAAACGTTCTATTTCACAAACATAATTGTTCAAGAGACTAATTGGCTTTGTTAACAGTGTTACAAATTTACACTGGAAATGAATGTAACGCCAAATCTATCAAGAATATATTTGTCAATGGAAGTGGCTGACACTATGAGAATTTGTATCAGAATTCACTAAATACAGTCGACTCTGAAATTCTCACTGTGAAGTGAGAAGGTTAGTAAGTTTTTAAAAAAAATCTAACTTCTAACAACCTAGCCAAAGCTGGGTTCTAGTAGTGCAATGAGAACTTGAAAAGCATCATTTATTGCAAATGAATTAGGTATGTAATGTTTTTTTATGTTCTAATTGCACTAGCTTTTCTCTTTTTTGTTACATAATATATCATTTATAGTTTATTCATTCACCAAATACTCAACTTTTACTTTATAAAGTGTGTATAAACGCTCTCATATATTTCCATTGTAAAGACATTCTTAAAGAAAAAAAATATATATTGGGTGATTGAATTGCCATTGAGGCTAAGCAAAATTTTTGAAATTTATTTATTTATATATGCATTTTTAGTCAGTATGACTGATGAGTCCCTAAATTGGATGGAATACTCATGTCGATGTTGAGAACCTCCTTCAATCATTCATTGCAATAAAACATGAAAAGATATGTTGATTATGAAAGTCTCATTAAGTATATATCATGAAATGGCTTTTTCAAACATTTCCCTGAATATCATGACTTAGGGTTGATGTACAGATTTGAATAGGTTTCATAGTACTAAAACTGAACTTGAAAATGATATTTGATATGGAATATCAAGAAAGTTGGTAAACCAGTGTTAATAAAAAGAAAGTAAACTGTTTCATTAGTGTACATTTATAAATGTATAGTTTTTGTCAGAAAGAACTAGTCTACTTTCTTGACTGTTGGTTCTTCCCATGATTTGTATAGATCATGACAATTACACACCCAGCAAACAATCAAATATAGAAAATCCACCTTTCATAATGCCATCACCTACCTCGTCATGTGTTTTGTAAATGATCCAAATGTTTCCTCATTGAAAAATGCTACTATAGCTACCAGAAATATCATGAGAAATGAAACTTTCTAATGTTTTTTACCACTTGTATTTGTAACTAACGTTACTGCAGTTTTGTTCTATAAGCACCTTTTCGAATGAAAACGAGTTTATTGTATTCGTTTGAAAATGTCATAGAACAAAACTGTAGTAATGTTAGTTACAAATACAAGTGGTGAAAAAACATGGTAACAGATACATCCATCAATTTACTACCAGGAATACTTGAATGAAAATTTAAGTTAGTATATATATATTGTTTAAGTTTGCTCGAGTTTTATGGTAATGACTTTAATGTCATTTATTTGTTTCTAATTTTCTGTTTGTGTTCTTTGACTTACCACGTGTACTACCTCGTACAAATAATGGTCAAATAAACTATTATTATTATCAAAGAGTAATAAAAACTCCATTTTTATTCTGTGAAAACATTTCAAATGGCTGAATACAGGTCCACAGCATGTAATCGTTAAAAGGTGTCCTTTTACGAATTTTCATTACCAGAAGTGAGTTTCCGAACAGTTTTGACTATTGAGTAGCCGTAACTTTAAAAGTAGACCAGACTGATAAGTTTTGACTTTGTATTTGTGATAAACGGAAAAAACTATGTAGGTTTAGTTGAAAATATTTCAACAAGTAGAGTGAGCCTGAAAAATGATTATTTACCAAAGAATTAGTAGCCATCATTATCGCTCTTCGTGAGATCACCAGATTACTTTGTATTCAAAACACACTTTATAGTGAGATTATCACTCAGGCGAGCAAAGACATGCCAAAGAAGCCATTGTTTTTTACTTTTTGAAATCACAAAATCCCTGTATAAATGAAATATAAGTAACTAACTGAGGTCATTAACTTCATGATTAAAAATAATTGAATGACCAAAGCGATAGATTTATTAGTTTTTTATTATTATATACCTTGTTTCTTCTCAAAGTAAAAGTGTGATCTTGTTTTGTTTCTTCCTACCCAATTGTACATCTAGAAAAAAGTGAAAACCTAAATCTTCTCAACTTTAAATCACAGACAGGTTTTTTCATTTTTGAAACCAGAATCTTTAATATTCACTACGATCCAGACATCCACATCAATTTCAGAATCATGGATGTAGATGTGAGGCTCTCGTGGAATGTTGTTAGGCTAAATAATGCAGTAGTTTCCATGATAACAATTTGTTGACCAGTCTGTTGATATTACTGCACATCGTTTTGATCTGTTCTTATTCATTGTTTATCTATTTGGAGATCTAATGATCAGATCCATCTGCATGATATTTTGGTATCCAAAATATTGCTTCTGTAGGTGCTCCTAATGTGTAAATAAATATGTGCAGCCACTGAAACGAAATGAAGCAAATATGAATGGAAGGATTGTAAACTTTTTTAACTTCAAAAGTACTAATAAAATCATTCACTGTTCTAACAACATGTAATTTCTACAGAATCAACAAAAAAATTAAGCGCATGTATGCAAGTCAAATATATTTTGAATATTCAATTCTATTTGGTGTTTTAAATTTTTTTCACTGAGTATTTACATGACCGGAAAGAATTCATTGAAAACTCCCTTTTTTTAAGGTTTGCTACTAAGAAATAACTTATTTTATATTAAATAATGTGATTTGTTGCAGCGTCCGGAAACTTCGGTTTCGGTATCCAAGAACACATTGATCTTGGAATCAAATATGACCCCAGCATTGGAATCTACGGTTTAGATTTCTACGTTGTGTTGGGTCGTCCAGGTTTCAATGTAGCTCACAGGAGGGCGAAACAAGGCAAAGTAGGATTCAGCCACCGATTGACCAAGGAAGACGCCATGAAGTGGTTCCAACAGAAATACGACGGAATAATCTTAGCAAGCAAAAAATGAGGTGGAAGAAATTAAAATGTATATTTTATGGTTGAATAAAATAAATTTTTTCCACTTTCATGGAATATTATTGTCGAAGTGACAGTTAACTTTACGATTTGATAGATTTTACACGACGCAAATTAAGTAATTTTTTTCAACAACTTTTCTTTATTTGCCATCAAAAATATATAAAATTACAATGAAAATTGTTCAATCTAATTCAGCAAATAGATCGGTTTGTTGTTCATAAAAGGTATAACCTTGTGCATGAGCAAGTTAACTAATCTATCGATGAACGTTGTAAAATTGGAGATATAAAATGTGATATGTAAACATCAAAATGATCAAATATAGTAGCCTGAATAATCCCAGAGAAACATACATGTTGACAGAAGTAATTAAAGAGGATCTATGTATGTTTATTCCAAATTGATACTGTCGAGCTGTTAATTGACCCAATTTTTGTTCGAAAGAAATATAATTTTGGTACCTGGTTCCGAATTCCTTCACAGAAAGTAACATTCCTAATTAATAATAATACTTTGTGCTAGGATATATTATAGTTATTGTTAGGTTATTTATGAACTTGCTGAAAATTTTATATGAGTCCCTGCTGAGTGGTTGAAAATTTGCAGTGCAAAATAACTTGTGTAAAAACAAATTTAATTATATCTTTGAAGTAGTTCTGATATGCCCTTTTTGGTGTCTTTGAGCTTCTCAGCTATTCGGTTTATATCTCAAGTCATTGCAAAACACTGTCCTTTCATGGGTCTCTTCAATCTTGCGAACAGGAAAAAGTCGCAAGGAGCCAAATATGGTGGATAAGGTGGCTGAGGCATGATTAGGTGTTGTTTTTTGACAAAAAATTACGAACAAGCAATGTCATGAATTGTTTTTCCACAATACTGGAAATTTTCTCAGTTTGTGGAGATCAAATCGAGAGGTGTAGTTTTTGAAATTACTATGGCATTCCCCAAACTCAAAGGAGTGCCAGAAGATGACAGTACTACCAACTGTCGAATGCGCTCGCAGATAATTAATAGAAGATAATATAAAGTTTCAAATCCTTTTTGTAGAATTTAATATTGAAATGCTCAAAATAAAGGAAAATTAGTTGCATCAATCAAAAAAAATATATATATATATATGATTCGTTACCAGTTATGACTAGGGTTCCCACCTCTCCCGGAATTCCGGGAGTATTCCGGATTTAAGCTCTGAAAATTAAAATCTCCCGACTCCCGGAAGGAATTTAAAATATACAAAATTCTCCCGGAATAACAAGTTGTGCAAAAGTAACGATGAAAACTCTCTGCCGTTATGATATGCTACTGTTAGGAATCACACGTTAAAAGGTAAGACCTCGTTAGTCCTTAGCTCGCACAAGTTTCTCAACTTCTGAGAGTTGTCGTTCGTATGGGGGCGACAGCTGATAAACGGAAAAACAGATTTTAAACAGACAGATGTTACTTTATACATAATACGATGCAGATTTTCAACACTGTCCTTAAAGTGATTTTGTAACTTGCACAGAATTGCGCCATGATTGAAATCCGCCAAAAAATTATAAATAGAAGAAAGGATTTTTTTGGTAGTTCAGTAAAAGATCTTTAAAAAAAAAACTAAATGAAACAGACAACGCTACGTTTTACAAGGAAGCAGATATTTTCTTTCAGAGATGTTTAGATTACCTGAATAAATGGTATGACTTTGAAAATTCTGAGTACCTACAGTAAATTGAGCATTCTCTCAATGAAAAAACCGATAACGTGGGATGATTTGAGAGATTTGGCCGTTGATTTGAAGATCAGTTTTGATGAAAATGAACTTTAAGATTTTTGCATTTCAAGAGAAGTTCAAGACAGCATTTTTAAATCAAATGAAAGAGTGGATTTGAGGTGGGCAAAATTTTTCTCAACCATCGAAAATGGAGTTGGTGTTATGTTAAAAAAAATGTTTCATTCGTTTTATCTGTACCTGTATCTAACGCTGCATGCGAGCGTGTTTTTAGCATAGTATTCGATACATGGACAAAGGAAAGAAATCGTTTAAATGAAGAATATTTCAAGGCGGAAATTCAAACGTTTATCAATTTCAAAATGGACTGCAGAGTTTTTTAAATTTGTCTATTCTATACTAAAACCAATAATGATTGAGAGTAGTGTAATTTTGTTAGCTGAAGTAGTTCTGCCTTTAAACTATCTTTGTTATATTGGATGTTCTTATTAATTAACCATTCTTGAATTGCTGCTTTTTTCCATGATTGTTTCGATAATGGTTCTAAATGTCGACTATGGTATGGGGCATTGTCCATGACGATGACAGACCCAGGTTCCACAAGTTGTATTTTTGTCATAAATAATACCTTTTAATCGCACTAGTATTGTGTATTATCTATAATTTGCCACAACCTACAACTCTACTGCTTACTATATTTATTTTGATTCTGCTATAAACTGGTAACGTAAAATTTAGATATGACAACGCGCTTTACTCTCAATCATTATTGGTTTTACTATAGACCAAATATTTTAAAATCTGTTCGTTCGAATGTAAAATATAAGTTCAAAATAAAATAAAAAGTTTTCATAATCAATGTTTTTTTTCTCCCGGGTTTAGACAGCTAAGAGGTGGTAACCCTAGTTATGACCCCTTTTAAGCAACTCGAGATCGCCGTTGACGTTATTCAATAAATCTTGAACGATGCTCATGGGACGGTTTTTTTGGTAAAAGTTCAGCAATTTTGGAACGAACTTTCCTGCCACACGCTTCATGTCCAAAATTTCCGAAAAAATTGCATGGCATGGCCAACCGATATGCCAACATCCTCAGCAACTTCTGTGATAATTGAAAACTAAATTTTCTTCGGATGGTATCATTGCTACATTGATAAAATTCTATGGCCATAACAAATTCAACTTAGGTAGTTTCTATGTTTAACAAAACTTACAAATACTCATCTAATTCAAGAATAAATCAATTACTTTATACATTATAAATATATCCAACCCAAAGAATATGTTTCATTAATAGGTACTTTAAACATATTATACAATTAATATTTACTGTTGATTCATAATTATATAGTATATTAAACTGATGTATAAATTTTTTGGATTCAGATGAGATACGAATGTTTATACCAACTACATCTTTTATTTTATGAATGGAACGTAATGAAGGAAATACGCCAAACGACGGGAGGTCCTTTATCCTTAATTCATTAACTTGGTCAGAAAAATAAAACAAAGAATTATAAAATTGTATATAATTATCTACAAGAATTTAACGCGGAGGCTAATGACCATAACAGTCGATGCCGACGACACCCAAGAAAAAAAAAAAGATGAATTTATCACTTAACAAAATATTTCAAATATATTTAATAGCTAACAATTTTTAAATTTTAATAAACCTGAAAAACATTCATAACCTTACAATACAAAAATTGCAATACAATAAAAACATTTAGTTTTCAAAAAATATGGTGTCAGTTGGGAAGTCTGCTTTCAATTTTTTTCTGAAGAATCCTCTTCCATATTTTATAATATTTCGACCATTTTTTCTTATCTATCACTTCATTGGAAAATTGTCGTAACCAATATTTCAAGCTGTAAAAATGTTGCGAGTTAAAATGAATTTTCAAAATGAAATCCAAGAACCTGACATCGAATCTGTAAATAAGACAAAACTGCAAAAAATACTAATAAAAGAGTGTGGATGAAATTCCGTTACAACAAGTATTCATATGTTTTACCCATATAATCCTGAAGAAACTATGTGGAAAAATAGAAATCTATTTGTGGAAAAATAAAAGCTGTCGTAAGTTACTATCGTTACTTATTATATTTGTAGTATCCTTCTCCAGTTTTCATTCCAAGTTTTCCATCTTGCACCAACTTTTGCAGAGAATCGCAGGGTTGGAAAAGAGGATTATCTGGGAATTTCTTGTGCCACCCGTTGATAATGGATAATGTGGTATCGTGACCAACATAGTCAGCTAATTCTATTGGACCCATTGGATACCCTGCCCCTAGCTTCATGGCAATATCGATATCATGTGGTGAGGCATCCCCTGAAATAATGAAAGAAATGATTGCGAGACATTCTGTATATCAGAATAGAATAATAATGAAAAAATAACAAAAATCTTGGCAAGGTTAATTCATCAAGCATACATAAATTCTCCTTTATTCACAATCAGGAAAAGGCAATCAACTTGACATTTTATAAATATTTCAGGGCTAATAAAAATTTTCAAAACATACCTCTCTCCATCATTCGTATTGCTTCTGCTATATAAGGCACCAGTAATCTGTTGACTACAAATCCGGGAGTATCCTTACATGTGATACAAGTTTTACCGATAGCTTTGCCCCATGTCATTGCCGCTTGATATGTTTCTTCCGAAGTGTCCGGGATTCTAACAACTTCAAGCAGCTTCATCACAGGTACGGGATTGAAAAAATGCAAACCTAGAAATTTATCCTTTCTATTCGTTACGGAAGCAATGTCTCCAATAGATAATGAGCTGGTATTTGATGCAAAAATTGTTTTCTTGGGTGCCACAGCATCTAAACTTTTGAAGAGAGAATGCTTAATTTCCAGTTTTTCTACAATTGCCTCAACAACTAAATCACAGTCTTTAACAGAATCGACAGCGCTCGTAGAACCTTTGATGCGGGCTTTGGTGTCTTCAACAAATTTTTTTGCTGCAGTCTCATCATCCTTATACATCTTTTTTGCAACTCTGGCCACATTGTTTGCAATACTAGATTCGGACTTTTTCAAGATTTCTGCATTAACCTCAACCAGCGTTACATTTTGACCACTCTGCGCAGCTACCTATAGAAATTAAAATTCATTATGGAATAATTATAACCATTTAGGATAAATTGAGATGCCAAGAATAAAAGAATAGAAGTCAAAAAAGATATTTGAAAAAATACTTGCTTGAGCTATTCCAGATCCCATTAGCCCTCCACCAATAACTGTAACATTTTGAATTGCACTCATCATTGAACTAGTTGACAAACATCTTTTCATCATAAAAAAAGTTGACATTTTGTGTTCAGTTTACAAGTAAAAGATATAATTATTGGATACTGCCTTTATTATGTTGTTTTAAATACAACCTACTATCTATAGAATTTATGAGTAATAAAGAGAATAAGAGGAGACTGATGAACCTTAGTACATATATCAGAAAATTAACTGTTGAACTTTGGACTAATAAACCAAAAAAATAATTGATCAGGATTATGCATAAGGTTTATTTTTTGGTTGTTTTGTTAGGTATTGCTTTTGCTTGCGTCCATCAGGGTTCCAGTGGTTAAAGCTGCATTATCACACAGCTGAAGACAGTAATGAAATAGGGAGCATGCATATGCCTCAGTTATGAAATATTTTGATCGAAATAAGTAGATATATTACACCTAATGAAGTTGTGCAATTGCTTGGAGTTACAAGTAAAAATTCAATTCATTCATAATACAAATTACGTGCACCCTGGCGGTGCGGTGTCTGGTAAACAAACGAATAGTTAGCTTAGCACAGTATACGGAATACTGTCAAGCATAAGGACGATTTTAGCAAAGAAAGGTATTGGCTTCTTACTTTTCCATCTTTATAAAAAAATATGTGGGAATTATTCTTTCCTAAAAATATATCTCTTTCTATTGTAACAACGTTTCTTTTAGCGTTATACCGTGATAATGTGTCATTCCTTTCCTAAATTAGAATTTTTCGTAGACGGTACCCTTCAGTTGATATCTCTTGCTTTTTACCTGTTTTTTTATTATTATAGATACAAATTCACGGTCAACACGAGTTTCTTTGTTAATTTGAATATTTCGAATATTTTTTTTTAATTGATAAATTTTATAATCAAATAACATTATTACAATGTGTTAAAACAACGATAAAAATAAAATAAATACAACAATAAAAATTAATTGGCGCTCCGGGGCGACTTCATTGATTCCATTTTGAAATTTGATATATTTTACATATACCGTCTAACTGATTCAAAAAACATTTTTACGCTGCATTCGACGCAGAGCGATTTTTTGTTTTGGACGCAGCCATTATCAGTTTTTACCATCGACATAACCTTAATCTGTCCGTGCTGACCTCCGATTGAAGGAAGAAGAAGAAGATAATAGTATATAGGCTCATTTCACTTTTCGTTTTAAAACTTCCAAAGAATTAAAAATTTAATTTCGAACATAGAAACATGCCTGTTTCTGAATATTTACAACCATAACTTATGGTTAACTTGTTACAATGAATCGTTCAAAATGAACATTTGATCAAGAATATCGTGCGGAATGGGAATTAAATCTTTTATTTGCATAGTAATTGAAGAAGTCAAGGAATGGAAATGCAAATTGTAAAGCATACGACTAAGAAGTTCTTTCTCGTAGGCTTCCTTGAAGGAGCACTTGGTGTCTGCCATACATAAAACAAATATGTTAGGATTTTCCGGGAGTTCTCAGGTTTGTAAGCCGAGGACTTCTAGATTCAGTCATTGTCTATCAGTGATACTATTCAAATGTCTTTAAAAGCGCCATCTAGTGGTCGAAAACTCAAACTTTCACTATGTTGGTGCTTTTCAAATATATTTCACTAGATTTCAGTTTTCAGTAATTTTTCAATAACGCCGTAGCATTGGGTTTGTTTTGGTTCACAATTCTGGACAGTTCGATTATACGCTGTTATTAAAAAGTATTTTGGATCAGTTAGAACCGTTCTAGTATCGTTTACAAAGTGTTTTGGTTTTCTCCGAATCGATTCGGAACTATTCCAGAACGATAAGTATTAGTTCGTACATTTGAATAGAGACCGGTAAGAACTTCGAATTTGCTCTTGCGCACTAATAAAATTTTCATTTGCGTTGTGGATTTTGGTAGTAACGTTTAACGTTTTCTTAATCTCATTTTTATCCGTATTTTAGTTGGTTTAGTTGGTGTTTCATTTGGTATTTTATCTACAATACTGTTCGTCTCCGGTAAAACAAAGAAACTCGGAGAGTTCATTGCGACCTGTAAATAAGACAAAATTATATATCAACATTATTCTTACACCACAACAGATAGTCGTGAAATGTATGTAGCAATAATAATAATAATCATTGTTATTATCACATCTTTTACAATTCCAAAAATTTATTCTTGGCATGTTTTTGTCAAACTTATTAGTATAAGATTAGAAAGAGAGGACAATATATTTTCAATTTAATTTTGAATAACCGGAGATAACGTCTCAGTTAATTTCTGTTACTCTAATTTTTTCAAAAACATCATCACACTTCAATTATATATTTGCATAACTTTTTCACTCTTGTCTTTAAACTTAACTCAAAAGTCCAATGATCGTTATACCAGAGTAGATGTACCTAACCTCAAATATTTGTTTATACACTTGTCAGAATAATTTTATTATATGTTTTGATTTTTTACTTGTTGGGACCGTTCCAGAACGCTCTGTGACTGTAATGTTCTGCGCTTTGATTCGGCGTCGATACGGACGGTTCAATAACGGTTCGAAATACAGAACCAAAACGAACCTATTGTCTAGACCACAGACACAGAGTACTTAATCTAGTCTGTGTCTAGACAATGACAATAGGTGTATTTCTCAAATAAAATGTGGTCACGCTGGTGGGGAATTCCCAAACTTTAGTCATTATTTCATTATCGCATAGATATTAGTGAAAGAATCCAATAAACATAAAATATCAGATTCTTCAAGATAAAATAAGAAGGGGGAAATAGAGAACTGCGTTTATTCCCAGTTAATTTACAAGTTGCCATAAACTGAAGAGCAGCGACAGAAGAACAAATGATATTAGGATATTCCTATATCCTACAGCTAGCAGTTCTATCACAAGTAATATTTTGTCATGGATTTGGGTAACGAAACATTGGAAGATTTGGATGGCGAAACATTGGCAGATTTGGTATGTTTTGGTGAATATAGATTCATTGGCTGATCATAGGTATTAAGAATTCATGTTTTCCATCCATTACCACTGAAAAATTACAACTCATGCACATATTTATTATATCAAAGCTCATACATGAATGCTGATAATTAATGAATCAACTTTAGACATTATTACTAATGACTTCAGTCTTCAGTCTAAAGACCAGCATATGAATCCAGGCTTGATTTTTTATTTTTCAAAATCCATTTCCACAATACAGGATATTCATTACTTTTCGTAATAGGCATTTTCAGGCTTACATTTGAGACAATTCTGGTGCAGTTCAAAATAGTTGAAAAACTGTTTATTGAGAGTGGACACGTTTATGTTGCTACTAGTGACTGTTCGAGGACTATCTGGATTGCTAACCCGAATTCAGCATATCTGTCAATTAAAATTGTTGAAATATTTTTTTAAATTACCCAGTTGTTGCTCCCCCTACAAACATTCCTACTCAATCTATGATCAAAACCAACTCAGTTGACAAAAAGTTTTTGAAACATTGTGAAGTTATGTTTTCTTTTTGCTGGTGACTTGAAACTATTCAGTGAAGTAGCATATTTAAATGACTGAGATACTTCAGAATGATATAGACTGCTTAACAGCTTGATGTGAAAGAAACAAATTACCCTTACATATTCACTATTGTGTATAAGCTGTCCCGTAAGTGGGTTTCGTACTTGTTTGTACAACAAAAATTTCTTTCTTTTCAAACAATCCTGAAGCGTGTATCCATGTTGAACTTTTAACATCAAATTCACCAATGAGAACTTGTATGGAATAAGTAACTTTTTCTATAGCTCTCGGTGGAATAAATTTGATGAACGGAAAGCTGCCCTCACAGGTTTTTCTCAATTGGTTTTTAAGTTGTGCTCCAGATATCTTGGAACAAGCAAAGATATGTACAACTTTTACATATAATAGTTAATCTCCTAACTTTATCAGCAAGAATTTACTCTTCTTTAGGCAATAAAGTTTCTATCTATCCATCTGGGCCCATAACATTTTGGTAAACAAGCAAAAATATATAGAAAAATACTTTTTAGAATTCAATTCGACAGTCGACAACAATAATCTTTCCCAATAACAATTTTCTACACTTTCTCATTATTTTCATCGGTTGTTGGTGTACTTTTATAGCGGAAAATCACCGAACATGCAAAACTACTCTAACTTTTATGCCTCTCACCAGCAAACTAAACAGCTGTTGTAACTGTGAACATATGTTTGAGACCAGTGTACCAACATAAAAAAATAAAAAATTACTAATCGAATGTACATAGCCCACAAATTTGAGCATTTACCTTATTTTTTTAACAGGCCTCCTATGTAAATGTTATAAATTATTGGAAACTGCAAACCTTACTGAATTATCTTTTAATAATCAATATCAAAACAATACATTTAAAATAATAACAACTGCATGATAATAATAATGATATCATTTATTGCCCAACAGGTAACACCCAATTACAGGACATAATTAAATACATCAGTACTGATAATAGATAAAATAAATTAACAAATCATGTTCATTCTTGATATGCTATATGAAAATAACATAACAATGATATATAACTTCGAATAGAAAACAAAAGAAAGAAAACTAAAACAAAAGAAAAAAACTGATAGTATGACTATTCAATGCGCTACTTGGTAAGAGTCATTATAATAACTGACTCTCTCACAACACAAAAAAGAAAAAACAGTTTTGATATCACTTTAAGATTTCCATTGCAACTTTTTTTGTATGATTCGCTGAGCAAGTATTAATATCGCAAAAGCTGCATATTGAGTTGTAGTTTTCACACATATATTTATGTTTAGATTGGCGATTCAGTATTTCACGGTTACGATAGATTGTTTTGAGGTTACAATACCCTCTTTTCAAAATCAGTGAAACATGCGATGAAAATCTTAGCGACGGATTTATCAGCAAACCAAGGTTTTTTATATTGTCATCTTCGCCTTTTATTGGTAACGACACGTTATCGACAGTGATGCTTATATTATTATTCAAGCACTTTTTTCTAGTTGCTGACCTCCCAAAAAGCATGACAAACGATTTGTTGACATTCACAGAAAGACAGTATTTTTCCGAAAGTTCAGTCAGACTTTTCAAATCTATATTGATTTTTCGGCAACTATCATCTACAGAAGATTCCTCGAAATGCATGTATATCTGCGTATCATCAGCGTAACTATGTATGTTTGTGTAACATTGGAGAATGCGATATTATGTTTGTTCGTGCTGCAGAGCAGTAAAATGTGAGATTCAGCCGTGACTGAGGTCTTGGCACCCTAAAGTTCAGTTCAGACAGGAGCAAATGGCAGTCTACTTGGCTGTGCAGTAGTTTATGCAAAAAGGTTATTGAAGCACATCTTCTCATTTTTTCTAAAGAAATTAATTGAAAGTGATTGAGAAAACTATAGTGGTCAGAACCCCTAGCTGGATAAATTCCAGTGTTTTTGAAGTACAAGAATTTCAAAAATTTTCTTTGAACTTTTTCAATTGAGTACTCATGACAGAAATAGTAGGGGCTCCAAATAATTAAGCAGTATTCAAGCTTGGATCTGACATATGAGAAATATAATATCTTCAAAGCGTTTTCACAATTTAGTTTGATAAATCCTAACATTTTATTGGCTTTGGAAACTTTTTTGTTTATGTGATTGGCAAATGCCATTTTAGAGTCAAAAAATACACCCAAATCCTTAGTCTCCACCCAACGGGTTAGCAAACTACCTTGAATATTGTATGGATGGTCAATATGTCTATGTTTTACAGTATATGACATGGCTTTACATTTACCTATATTCAGATGTAGGTTATTAATTTCACACCAAGCCTGCACATTATCTATATTTTCCTGAAGTGTTTTGCAATCATTCACATTTTGGATAGAATTCAGTATTTTCAGATCATCAGCAAAAAAAAGTTTCTTAGAATTTATTTGTGTGCTTAAATCATTGATAAATATCAAAAACAACAGCGGTCCCAAATTCGATCCTTGGTGTACGCCAGACTTAGCAATTATTGTGTTTGATTTGTATCTGTTGTAATAAACTATTTGGTTACGGTTGAAAAGGCACGACTCAAAAAAGCCTAGTAGCTCATTACTAAGGCCAATAAGATCCAGTTTCGAATGTAAGATGCTATGATGAATTTTGTCAAAGGCCTTTGAGAAATCTGTGTATATCACGTCTACCTGTCCTTGATTATCCAACGTTGAGCACTTGTAGTGGGAAAACAGTGCTAGATTTGATTCAGTGCTGCGGTGGTTCATGAAACCATGTTGAAATTCACTTATTTGGTTGCATGTTGACAAGTAAATGTGCTTATACAAGATAATTTCAAACGCCTTCCCGAAGTTTGAGATAATTGTAGTTTGATATGTTTGAAACATCCCCGTTCTTTAAAATTGAGCAAATTTCGCCAAGTTTCCAAACATCAGGAAACGTTGCTGTATTTAACGATAAGTTAAAGAGGTAACAGAGAGGAGAAGCTAAGACTGAGCTACATTCTTTCACTATGAAAGATGGTATGGAATCAAAACCGGAAGTCATTTTGTTCTCGAGGGTTTCTCTCACTTCATTTACCGAAATGTTTGTGATGTTGATATTTTGACTATTATTTACCAATTCCGAATGACCTCTTGGATTTGAATTGTAAGGAAGATACACGCTGCTAAAGAACTCTGCAAACGCATTTACTATATCTTGAGGGCTTTCTAGTTCTTGATTGTTATAGTTCATTTTACCAGGAATTCTTGACTTTTATTTTTTTGAATTAATGAAATTCCAGAAAGATTTTAGATCATTGCGAATTGATGATTGTACATTTACTAGGTAGATTTCATAGGATTGTTTAATTTCTGTTTTTATGGTGGACCGCAAGATTCTGAAGCGATTTAAATAGAACATTGATTTGGTCTTTTTTATATTTTTCCAAGGCGTTAGCTTTATCACGAATATTTGTAATAATATCGGCAGAGTACCATTTCGGGTATTTGTGGATCACTGTTTTGTACAATGGTATGTGTGTATCAAAAATGGAATATATTGTTTCATATAATTTATCTACTGCAAGGTTCACATCTGTGTAATTATTCAGGAACGTCCAGTCACATTCTTGCAAAGCCGAATACAAAGAAGGATAATCTGCTTTTTTGAAGTTATATGTTTTTTGGGAGTTTTCAGCTTTGAATGTTTTGTATTTTGAATAAATATCAATGTTGATCATTAAGGCTGGATGGTGATAGTCGTCGTTTAGCAGTGGTGCGTTGTTATGAAGAATCTCACATTTTACATTAGCAAACACAAGATCTAGTAAACGGTTACAGGAGTTGAGTATATTGTTGAGCTGTTTCAAGTTTGAAAAATTATTTGCCAGTGATGTTTTTGTATCATTATTGGAGTTGTGAATGAAGTGTGTTATTTTGAAATCACGTAACACTACAATGTTTTCATTATATATCTCGTGAATGTGTTCGAACATTTCAAAAAAACTGATCATAATGATCTATAGTAGTAGATGGCGGAATGTATATAACAAATAGGTAGAAGGAAACATGACTGTATGTATGAACATTTGCATCCCACTATATCTATTGCTGGTAGATTGTTTTTGAATAAGTCTAGGTTAATTTTTTTTACTGTTCAGAAAATCTTTGCAAGCAAGCAGAGCCCCTCCACCTGTTTGAAGATTGGTTTCCAGTAACTTACGATCTGATCTATGAACTATGTAACCACTTGGAAACAATTCACTGCTGGTGATATCATCCTGCAACCACGTTTCACTCAGAGCTATCACGTCATATTTATCTTCCGAAACACAGGCGTGAAATATTGAAACTTTGCTTCTCATACCTCTCACATTTTGGTAGTTGCAAGTGAATGAGTGGGTGAAGTTGGACTGCTTTAGTTTAAAGTATTGGACACAATTTTCGGCACTCCATTAATGTATTTGATTCTGCAGTTTGTGTTACCCTTGCTGTGACGATCTTCCAATTCGGTCTTCACGAGCTTGTAATGATCCAGTTGGCGCCGCGTTCTGTCGAAAGATACGGATATTCTCCTGAATTCTTCAGGATTTTTCAAATTTGTTGAGTTTCTAATTATTTGATGAAGATCAGATTCGTTTTTCAAGATGACCCTGACTGGGCGGTTTCTACCATTAGCAAAACGACCCAGTCTGATGATATCTATGAATTGGAATTGGACATCCGGTTGAATGGCTTGAATTACATTCCTTGCTGCTAATTTATCGGAGTTTTTCCGAGCATCTGGTGGTTGGTTTTGATACCGAATATAATTAAATTATTCTTCCGCTTATTTCTCTCATTCACTTCCTCAACAATTTCTTCAAACGATGAATGATTTATTGGTTGGTCTGAAGTTGTATCGTAGTTGAGATTGCCGTTTTGAGAGATTCAAGTTCAGTCTTTAATTGTTGAACTTCCTGTATCAACTCTGATGCAGTAAGACCTGAGCACTCCACTCCACTCAAAAGTAGATTCATCCTCAGCCAGGTTATGTTTACAAACTTTGCAGGTACCCATGCATAACACATAAAATGTACAACCAATTCCAAGAAATCATTAAAAACAAGATCTATCAAATGAAGTGAACGTGGATATCTGCAACAGTAACAGTGAAATAATTTTATAAAAATTTTCTAACCAGCAAACCATTTTTAACACTCACTATTTTCATCTTTTAAGATTAACCAACTGTGCGAACCACCTGAACGTGATGAGCCAAGTATTATGAAAGCTGTCCGGAAGGAAAACTTGGATAAAATTACTTATTTGATTACATCTGGAGAGTCTGTCAATAGCAAGGACTCTGATGGTTATACGCCACTCCATCTAGCTGCAATGAAAGAAAAGTAAGCTACAAGCAACATCTCTCTGATTAATGATTGATATAACTAATTTTCAGTTTGGATATCATGAAATGCCTTCTTACTGTACCTGATATAGATATTAATGCGAGAAACAAATTCGACGAAACGCCTTGCTTTACTTCCTCGAAGTTTGGTAATTTCAAGATGACACAACTTCTCGTTGATAGTGGAGCTGATGTGAATATACCGAACGAATACTTTGAAACACCTCTGCATGCATCTGTTCACTTTCCAAATATTTCACAGTTACTCATAGAAAATGGGGCAGACTTGGATGCTGTCGACTCAGAGGGCAGGTCTGTGTTACATAAAGCTACACTTGATAACTGTTTGGAAACTGTGTACATACTTCTCTATTACAATGCAGATGCTAATATGAAGGATAATCGTGGTAAAACACCATTTGGAATAGCAATGTATCTTAAGAATGTTGTATTGATAGATACTCTATGTGAGTATGTAAATGACTTGAGTACCCAGAAAAACATTTTAGATATGACCATATATTACGGACATTGTATAGTTGAGAAATTACTAAATACAGGAGTTAAAGTAGATAAAGTCGCTTTTGAAAAAAGTTTGGCCTTGCAAGATCCTAAAATTTTCAAACTCTTATGGAAAAGACTAGATCCCCGAGAAGCAAAACAAATAAATTTCTTTAATCTAGGTAGCTTGAAGGGCCAAGTTTTCCATGATTTTATAGATGTGGTGTTAGAAGATAGTGATGATTCTGTAATGGCTGTAATAGCTGAAAGCATAAGCAGTTACAATATGAAAGAGTTCATTGGTGGATTTCCAGAGGATAATGCCTCCATAGATCAGCTAACTAAACTGATTTTCCTCCTGCTGCAAAACGGTTATCAAATGAGTTGTCATGTCATACACATGATTTTCATTAGGTTCGGTTACTGTGAGCTTTTCAAATTGTTGATGTTTATTGACTATACGACTGATTGGGACGTTTTCGCAACCACTTCCAGGTTAATTTTTGACATTGAAAGTACCATAGAATCCAGAGTCAATGAAATGGTGTCTGTTAAAGATCAGTGGATGGCTGTAATTATGTTTCTCAAAGACGCGAATGCGTCTGCTCGCTACTGGATTTATCGCCCCTTAGACGATTTATGTTCTGCTGAGATCGATGATTATTTAGCTGTTTCCATAGGATATGGTGGGTTCTTCGATTACATTAAAAACAGACCTAGAGTTCCGTCCTTACTCCAATTAGCGAGAGATAAGACTAGAGAATATATTGTTAAAAAGTCTAATCTCAGGACCACTTCTCAGTATTATACAGTTATTAACTATCTGAATATTTCTTCGGTATACAAAAAAATTCTTACGTTTGAAAGGCCGATATATACAGGTTTCAAATGTATTGATATTCAATCATTACAGGAATTCAACAATTAGTTTGGAGGAGAATATGAAAAATGTTGAAAAGTTGAATGACAACATGATGGGGATTCTCCAAAAGTATGGATATATCCACACAAGGTATCAATCAATCAAATATTTATTGAATCAGTTTTCCTTCACAATCACATTAGACAAAAAAACATATAAAATACTGGCTGATTCAACAGGTCAAACAAACTTCGAAAAGCCAATATAAAACATACCTAAAAAAAGTTAATAAGCCACAATCAAATTAGGATTCAAGGAGAAACTCATCCACAGGCTAGTAGTTTGCTTTTTGCAATAGAAAAATCTTGAGTCATCTTTTAAAGACGTTGATATTTGGGGGATTTAATGTCGTCACTATATAGCTCAACCCCAAAGCACATGGGGTAATTCTTTGATACTGTCAATCTACTATAAGGTTGATGTAGTTGAGAGTTATTTCTGGTGAAATGTTCATGGATTTGCTCATTTCTAGGAATAATTGTTATCTTTTTCTAAATAACAAAACTTCATCAGCTTTAGCTGATAAGCCCCACTGTTCAAGACCATAGGAAATTACTGACTGAATTAAACTGTGGTATACAAGCTTGAGAACACCAAGAGAGACTGTTTATTTTAACCGAAGAAGTAAATATATATATTTACTGACCTTCAGTTTGATACTATCAACATGGAACTTCCATTTTATTATCAATATTCCTAAGAATTTAGTACAATTAACTTGATGTAAACTATCTAACCAAATAGCTTTTATCAATTGTATTTTCAGTAACAAAGTTTAGCATTTAAGATTTAGCAGAATTCAGTAGCAGGTCATTTATAGAACACCACTCAGAAATTTGATCAGTTACTTCATTAGCTTTGACAGATACCAAGATGTTAGTATCGTCCGCAAAAATAACAGTAATGGCAGCGTTTGGAACAAAACTTCGGAAGATCATTTATAAAAACCAAAAATAGAAGAGGTCCCAAAACAGAGCCTTGAGGTACCCCTCTTGATATACATTTTCTTTCAGAATTCATTCCATTTACACAGACCAGCTGACTTCGATCAGTCAGGTAAGATCCAACCCAATTCAATGCAAAGCCACGTATACCATAAAACTGCAATTTGTGTAACAGTATGTTTTCCAAGATTTCAAGCGCATGTTTAATGACTTGATCAATTGCATCAACTGTAGATTTATTTCTTCTATAAGTATTCTGACTAGAAGAAAATAATCTGAATGATCCAAAGTAATCATATAATCTTTGATAGAAACAGTATTCAGTAGTCTTAGAAAACTGACTAATGGCGATATAGGCCTGTAAGATGCACAGTTAGATCGAGTGCCCTTATTTTTGTATATTGGCAAAACCTTTGACATTTTCAGTATATCAGGAAACCTCCCCTCAATGAAAGTGAAGTCAACTATATGAATCAAAGGCTCAGAAATCACATTGGCAACCTTTTTAATAACATGACCAGTTATTTCATCAATACCGAACAATTTTTTCTTACCAATTTTTTTGTTTACTTGGTCAATTTCCATTTTAGTTGCTGGATATAAATAAATACTTTGATGAGCAGATGACATATAGTTGATATTTTTAGTATCAGGTTTGGATATGCTACTACTGACAGTTGAGAAACAATCACCGAAAAGATTGCATATAGCAAAATTATCAGAAAGAATGTCGCCACCTTCAGCTCTTTGTAGACAATGTATGGTATTGCCAGTATAACCATTCTGAGCTTCCTTTATGATTTTCCGGGATTCTTTCACCTTATTGTCAGCAGAAGAGATTCTATCATCATTGCAAGTTTTTTTAGCATGTTTCAATTTAGCCTGATATATTGTTTTAAGTTATTGATATTCCCTCTGATATAATCCTTTTAATATACTTTGTTCAGCTCAGATAACAGTAGTTCCACCTGGAGTCCACAGATTTTTTCATCTAGACTAACTTTTTTGGAAATGAAGTGTCAAAATAATAGGAAACTGTATTATAGAGACTATCAAACTTAGAATTTGTACCGAGTCATACAATGAAGATCGATCAGTCTCCAACAGTAAACTAGGAAATTTCTCAGTATTATAGTCACTAAAACATCTCATGTATGTTTCTTGGTTATGATCTACCTGATCGTAGTGGAAAATTGCCAACTGGAAAGTGTGATCAGATATAGAGGAATGATGAATGGAATAACTAATAGGATCAGAAGTGGACAAAATGTTATCAATTGTTGGACTTTACAGGAGAGTGCATGTGGATATTTCTGAAAAAAAGAACAGGAAATGACAATGATTTCATTGTTGAAAATATGAAGAAGCAACCAATATTTGAAATCTTCTTTGGTTCCAACAGGCTTCGAGTATAAAATATTATGAACTTGAACTATACAGTGGAATTCATCTCTTAGTGTTGCCAACTTAGGTGGTGAAATATCTGTCAAGGTTAATGTTGTTCTGGTGTGTAGGAGCTTCTTTCTATATGCCAGAGGTTTCAAATATGAATATGCTCCTCTACTTGAAAAACTATATTGATTAAGAATTCGAGATATAACTAATAAGTATATTCATAAGTCTGAAGAAGCTTTGTCAGTTAAGTGCCTCAAAAATCAATCCTGTTTTTTTACTCATTATGTTTGTAAATGATATATAATGTGTTTTATAATTATCCTTAGATATTCTGTGGAACAGTAAAAGTATAACCAAAATTGAGTTGCTCTGAAAAGAGGAGGATTTTATTACATAAACCAGTTTTTACATTTTCAACAAAACATTCTTCAACATTAATTGATCACAAACTAACCTGAAAAGAGAAACAACATTTAAAGCTATTACTTCACCAGTTCCTATTAACTAATTGTTTAAATTGCAATATCTTCTTTAACATAACCTACATATTCATCACATGGAGAGAATTTTGTGAATATACGATGTATGTCTTATGGATATCCAGAATATAGCAAGTATGTCCATAAGATATATAGCACAGACATCCATAAGATACATATCTTAGCAAGGCATAAGCTAACACACTAAAAAGAAAATGAAAAGTTGACAAAAGATACAATACGAATGACCAAGGCTACGTAGGGATATTCGACGAAATTTTGACCCTTTTCACTGATATCTTATGGATGTCTGTAGGATTCTCATGAACATCCATTTCATGTTCAAAAAAGATATTCCGACCACAATTGGATATTTAATTTTTTTTCTTTTGTTGAAGGTTTGTTGTTATTTTTGTTTATATAGAGAAGAAAAATATTTGCAAAACATGACACTTTTCTATGGAAGTGCGGAAATGCAACATATTTCTATTATTCATTCCTTGGAAATTTCGACATCAATCTCGAAATTACGATTTTACTCTCGAAATTTTGACTTTAATTTTGTTATATGGAAATTACAACATTAAAGTCGTAATTTCTACAGGTGAATGTTGTATTATATATAAAAAAGTTTTATTTATCGTGAATTTGTGTATTTGAAACAAACTTTGATGAAAAATTACTTTTCATTTTGACTGAATCGTGTTCTCCAATTGTTGAAATATTTAAGCGTATATTTTTGTTAAATAATAAATAAATAGGCTAGCACACCCTGACCTTTATTTCAAATCCCCTAAAAAATACCCAATTTTCCTTCTGAAAAAAAACGTGGATTTTAATGGCTTGTATGTTGAATATAATGATAAAGCACATAATCAAAAATTATAATATAGGTATATTAGAAAAGAATGTATTTAATGAAGTTGACAGTGGGAGGAATGGACATTGAATAATTACATTTATTTGTCGAAAATGATTCAACTATGATCAAAGGAATCTATTGAGAATACTTTTTTTTTGTGATATCGTTTTCTTCACTCTATTTTTTAAAGAATATGTTGATTTATTTCTTGTATTATTCTCAGGATTATTATATCATATGAAATTTTCAATAGACTCATCTTATGTTAGAGGTTGCAATTATACCCAGCATAAAACAACATTGTTAAAATCATATTAATACCATTTATGGCGGACTTTCAGCTCTTTAGTGATAACATCTCAAATTAATGATTGGTTCCCATGGCTGGTGTCAGATTCAAAATCAAGAAACTAATATACAAACTTTGCAATGAATGTATGAATCTATTGAATAGGAAATTTAGTCTAGTATACATACAACTTCAAAAGTAAAAAAAAACAATCAACAGATGACACTATTACCATACATCTGGATTCCTAGATGGTAAGATGAATCAAAATTTAGTGGTTAGATCTTATATGATTTTAAATTCGATAACACTTCTCTCAACTTTTATGTAATTAGCTAGTTCATTATATTCTTTAAAGCCCTTACAATAATGATAAGTGAGACCATATATTGGTAAGTGAAGTTGTCCCGTATTTCCTCTTGTTTGATGATTATAAATTATATACCTATATAAATAATAAATTCATCAAAGTATTCTGGCAACTAATTGTTCAAAAAATAATTGTATTATAAACAATTAACCTAGAATATCATGGAAGAGACTGTAGTAAAGAGATATACCTCTTCCAAAATTTTTCTGTAAATATAATTAAAATGAGAATTGAAAGAAAGTATTACAGATCGGTAAATCCAAACTGGTTCATACTAACATATTTTATCTTATATGTTGTAGATAATAACAACGTTTTAGTTTTTTTTTTTAATTGTTTTTTTACGGACTTGCCATTTTACAATGAACACGATTAGTCTGATAGGAAAATAGACAATTGAACAATAATATGGAATTCAAAATATTAAAAATAATTATTAATAATAATAATCAGCAGTTTCTTCATAGTAAAGTCAATGCGTCGAACCTGATTTTTGAAAAATTATAAGGACGAATCAATGTAGATGCTTTTCTTATTTGTTAGCCTAAGCATTCTATATAGTAATGGGTTCATTTAAGCCATTGCTAGTAGAATGGTGAGGAACTTTTAAACAACTCCGACACTCTGGTTCTTCTTGAATTTACATTGAAGTCAATCAGTTGTGTTACATATGGACAGTTCACATCACCATCTATAACTTTATGAAGTTTTAAATCAATTTTAGCACCTGAGTAGATAAATTCAAAAGTAGCGGAATATTTATTTGAGTTACCTTCACAAACACCTCAGAGGGAGCACAAGTTTTCAACTAGTTGCCTCGCAGTGAAAGATAGAGAAATGTTACAGTTTAGTTTGTCAAATATTACGTTTGAGTTCATTGTTATTGGAATGAAAAAGAATGGTTTCTAATGAATTGTATATTTTATTGATAATGCTATTATAATCACTATTCCCAATAGTTAACATTTGCAAAAGTTCATGGTTTAATTTATCAAAGGCCGAGATACTGTGGATAAACTAGACCTTGCTAGTTTTGAATGTTCTTAAAAATTTCATATTGTAATCAAGTTGAGATCAGTTGAAATTTTCTAACAAATGTGAACTTTTTTCCAGGATTTCATTAATTTAAAAAAACCTATCCTTGAATTGGTTCCAAGGTGGGCAGCACAGCCCCTATTTTTATTGAGGTAATACATTATTACAATGTATGGAATTCATTAAATTATGATTAAAACTATAAAAAACATAACAAAAAAGTTGTTTACACCCATTACTTCCACAACTGCTTCAGTGTCTTTCTTGAGGCTAAATACTTCGTAACATAAGATCCGACAATAAGTCCAGTTAGCACTATAACGATCATCATGTGGTCAAAATCCTCCTTCAACACATCAAAAGTCTTGGAGGGTGCCACTCTTGTATAAAATATGTCCAAACCATGCACTAAAACATGACTTGTACTCTCCAACCTAGCAGGAGCAACTTCGATACCGCGAATCCTCCCTATCGACTGATTGTAATTTATTACTGCTTCACCAGGAAGGGGAATTTCAGGCATGTACGGAATACAGCTCTCCTCCGGCCCGCATGGAATGTCATTGAACCTTGGTTGGAGCAGCAGCCAAGGAATTTCGCTCACTGATCCTCCGCTTAAAGCCATCAATAGGAATTTGTTCGTGATACCTCTTTCTGTTAATGTTACTGCCAGTTTGAGTGGGTTAGCCGGCAAAATGTAGCTTTGTGTCTGAATATGCGGCAGGAGGCTAACTGCGTGAGAGCTGAAGACGGTGCTGTTGCTCTGGACGTGACCCTCGTAAAGTTCTGCAGCCACAACTTCAGTCCTGCGGAAACGCTCGCTGAAATAAGAGTACACCAACCAGTTCTCGGAATGCACGAGATGCACAGGCCCTTTCGCTCTTTTATGTGAAGTGGAGTAGAGTATTAAACCACTGACGCCATCTATGAGATAAATGCTGAGTACACGCTTGTGTACAGGATCATCTGCTAAGGTGGCGATGGCCACTAAATTTGGGTTGACATACTTGTAATAAACGGATCGATCTGGCAGAACTCTTCCCTGAGAGTGGACTCTCTCATTTGGATGCTTCGCCCCAATAGCTACAATTTTGGACGAAGGAAGGCTGACTTGCCAAGTTGGAGTTAACAAAAGAGAATTTCCAGTGCTGTGGTGGAAGCTGAAGCCTTTCAAGGAGTTCTCGACTGTGTCAACTAAGTAAATGTAAGTCTGTGTAATGTGTTTAGTGATGAGCGACTTTGCAGATGATGGGTGAATGGACACCTCATTTCTGGGAGAGACCAGCAAAATGGGCTTGATATGGTATTCATCTTCATGCGGTAGGAGTACAGCCTGTGATATTCCCTGATTTAGTTGCACAATACCGTTTCGAGAATAGCCTGTTATCGGGTCAAACTCAAACAGAATTCCGTTTCCAGTAGTGGAATCTTCAGCAAGTAGAATACACTGAGCTGGAAGGGGGGCATACCTAGCTGTTCGCTGAACGAATAATAACATTTTCTCTTCTTGCAAGGTTGTGAACGGTTTCACATTTGGCAGCCTATAAGTCCAAGCAATAGAGCCTGTCAGGGTATCAATGGCGAAGAGTTTGCCAGCCTTTGTTGCAACGACTATTATCTTATGCAAGCCAAATTCGTCCCTCACTAAACCGCTGCCAGATAAGAGTTGCCCTCCTAAGATGATATTAGATAACTGTTTCGCTTGAGTTGTCAATCTGTGGGCGAGCATGTTCAAAACATTGTTTGAACTGGTTTTGAACTCGTTTTCTATTGATGCGTCTAATTCAGAAACGGGCAACTCCAAAAACTCTGTAGCTACTATGTGACTCAAGGCTTCCTCCCTAGTCCATTTGACTTTACCTTCGGGTAACTTCATGAATACTATAGCATTATCAGATGTACTGAGTAAGAGATCGGTTACTGCACCTTTGCTGAGGCTTGCAACAATTACAGGAGCACCCAGTCCAAGAGGGTAGTCCAAATCAACTGCTGACAATTCTTCACCAGTCGAGTAGTCTTTAGAAACAACTTTGATTAATTTTCCGGGGTTGTCGCTGGCTTCTAGTTGATGAACTACCAATTTACCCTCATTTCTTACACAAACAGCGTTGATCATAATATCGAAAGGTTTGGCAACGAGGTCATCCTTCTCAATGTGTATTAGCTTACTGCCATCATTTGTATCCAAAATGAAAGCTGGTGTCTTAGACGTGAGAGCAGATATTTTTACCTTATCCACTGCTGCATTCACTAAACTTTGAATGGGCTTTGAGTGAACTTTTCTGTCCTTCGAAATGAAATCAACGTAATATATTTGTCCTGAATAATCATTATTTAAAATACACACATAGTATGTTCTTGTAATCACACAGTTTGAGAGATCTGTGATCCAAGGTGCAGGTATCTTGACGGTTTTTCCAGTGGGATCGCCACTCAGCAAATGATATGAAGATATTTCTAAATAAGATCCAACTATGGGTACAGCATGGATAAGTTTTCCATCGAGAACGAGAAATTCAAATGGGGGTAATTTTTCAGTAACCAATGCCCTTTCTGTTAGCAGAGTTCCGCTGTTAATGTCCCACGTACGAACAATCCAATTATTAAGAGATCCAGAAATTGTGAATACATCTCTGTCTATGTGTAACAATTTCACGTCATGGTCACTGGGATTTTCCAGTAGTTGCCTCCACATTATTTCACCATTCTTCACGTTTAAAGCCGCTAGGATATTTTCTTCAGTAACTACAATCAATTTCTTTGACTCCAGTTCTGCATACTTTACTTTTCCTATGAAAGACCTTTTCCAGTCAAATTTTCCTACTTGATCTTCATAGAGCGCTGATGACAAATTTAGAAAATATATTAAAACTAAATGCAATATTATCGATCGCGATAGAAAAGCCATTTTATAATTTCTAATGAATTTATGCAATGAAGCAGTCTAACCTATAAAAGATGATTTCAAATCAAAAAACATGTAATTTAATTGACATGGAACACGAATTCTATAATTGTTTTATGCCAATGTCATTGATGACTCTAGGGTATTGTGTTCACTACTTTTTACGGAGCTTTGTTGAGTTTCAATCCATATATTTCTCTAACAGTGGGTAGTGGGTATTCAAGGAGTTACCAATAACAAAACTCTAAGAAAATAAAGAAATTGTGGGAAAGTGGCATTTCGTATTGATATTTCTACAAAATATTACTTGTTGTTTCATTGAAAATACTCCCAAATTTTCTATTGTGGAAGTATTCTGGAAAGAATGCTTAGATTGAAAGACCGATAGTCAAAGGCAAAAAAAAAAGAAAATACCATTTAAAACATGGGGACGTTAGTTATTACTCAATCGATAACATTTTCAATTCTGAACGGAAGTTGATTATTTTTATTTAGACAATTTGACCATAATTTGTTTATAAGGTTCTGTTACTTTGTCTCGTTGGAATTATTTCAATTGTAATTTGTATGTTACTTTGGATATATTTTACTATGTAACCACATTCTTGACGTGTGCAAAATCTTCATGATCAGAAACACAAATAAATGTCAATTATGTTTTACTACTCTGCATTTTGATAGAAGGATTAAAATTCAGAGTAATAAAACGTGGAAACGCTGCTTTTTATGTCTGACTGTTGACATTTGACTCATATACTGACATTTTAACATTTCATTTTCTGTTTCAGTTTCAATGACATTTAGGATGTTGGTTTGACAGTGACACTTTGACGTTTTATTGTGAATTGGATTGAATAACTTTATTTTTGGATTTGAGGGAAATATATTCCAGACTTGTGTCTGTCTACTTTCAGTTAATATCAATTTATCGTCCAATTCATTTACTAAATTGATTTTTATCGAAAGCAACGTGAAAATAAGCGCAATGAAATATCCTCTAGTGCATCGTCCATTGATCAGCTAAATATATACGGGATCATCTAGTAAAATCGGGAAAATAGTTATACTTATATCGTGACACAGGAAGTTCTGGTTTGCTGGACATTGGACACTAGTGAATTTATTTTAGTGCTCTCGTGAACTGGCACAGTGATAGTTCGCCTCCTCGAAATTAATTGAAACAATCTCTCATTATTATTGTTGGTGAGATTGCTGAAAGTGCTAAGTGTACGACCCACTCCATCCATAGAAAAAACGAAAATGGTAAGTAGTCAATTATATACTTGAAGCCTGCTAAAAACGGCATACTTAATTGCCAAGAATAATTCAAATAATCCAAATATGTATGTGACAAACACACTTGAATATGATTCTTATTCTTGTCTTTCTAGATACTGATTCAAATTAAAATATTTCACATTTGCTTTGCATTTGAGTACTCTCCTTTAGGTGGTTAGATGATTATTGCTAATTATTGGGGTTAGTCACCAGTTTTGTCTGGTCTAAACAATGCAGGAGGTAAAGAAACAGGCAAATAAGTAATTTGTTTACATTAGATCTCTTTTAGAATATACTGACTACCATTGTATTCATTGCTTTTATTATTCTGCTCAACAATGTAGAAATATTAATTAACAATTCATGAGAATCAGATAATTATTCTTTATTACCTGCAATTAAATTCTATTTTGTATAGTGACTCATAGTTTATATTTCCTCATTGTAGGTATTAGATTTGATTTATTATTTTTATTAGAAACATTTGAGATCAGTCATTTTCGAATTTGAAACTTTAATTTCAGTTGAGTCACATCTCATTTGTTATTTCACAAACTTACTAGAAAATTAAAATTTTTACAAAATTTCATTCCTAAAATTAAATAACTTCTGTTCTCTTCAATTATTCGGCGAATAAAAAAGTAAATGCTTTACTCTACAGAACAATTTGCAGACTAAACCTTTTGTTAGGTTGTGTTAGAAAATGTCAACAAAGTATAAATGTAATACATGCACTTATACCATAGTATAAAGATAAAATGACTTTTATAGCAATCACCAGAAATGAAAAAAACACATGTTAGACAGTGAAAAGGAAACAAAGCCAATTTTTGATAGTTTCCATTGAAAAAAATGTTTGGATTAATTTTTAATACGACGGGGACATCTTTTGCCCATATTTTCAATTTAGGCACTTCAACCCCTTCACGGGGTGCGATCGCACCCTTAATCCTCTCTTAAATCCTAAACGAAATTAGGGGTTAAGTTATAAGTCCTTTGAAATAATCTCAAACCTACTTCTTCGAATTCTTCTCCTTCATTGACGTTTCATACACGTTGCCATGGTGAAGATGTGACGTCATGATACATAAGCAAAATAACAATAGGGTATTATTTTGTTGAGAATACTGATCAAAATCATTATAATTGTGCTTCTTACCTCCATAAAGTTAGCAAGGCAACTTGCGGTAAAATTATTGAAATATATTTTTTTAATTGTCGAGAATTTGTCGTGAACGAAAAATAATTGTCGGGCATCTCCTCTTTTTATATGGGGTAGCCCTGCCAACTTGATATAAAGTTAGCGCAGCACCTTTAGTAAAATTTTTAATATAACTGAATTATTTAAACTTTCATTACTAGTATATGTTGAATAATTGTCGTAACCCAATCCATATATCAAAAAATTTCTTGAAACGTATTTTTTTGGAAAATATTGCGTTTTTCGTGTCATACCTTGTACTATATGGATATTTTGAACTATATGGCAACACCGCAACAGGCGTATTTGATTTCTTCATATATTTTTTTAAAGGATCGCCATTGAAAAGTGCTAAAATAAATTTGTAATGTATCTACGTGGAAATTATCGATAAATTTTTTTGTTTCTTCAATTTTTGTAATCCTATAATCATGTCGAATATTTTTTGCAATTAGCAACCTATTGACCAATTGTATGTCTTTCGACATTCGTTTATAAATAAAGATCAATCAAAAACAAAAGTATTGTGCAATTGTCGAAACAGCAGAATTGATATATCGTATGTAGGTAGGTATATTAAAGAAGAATTATGAATTTCTCCCAGCAGGGAAAGTGATCTGTTTTTCTGTTAATAATTTTTTACAAATGATAACTTATTGATCAATTGTCGTATCTCTTTCGACAATTGTTTATGAATGAAAAACAATTGTTCTTCAACATTTTTTTAACTTGCTATAAAGTTAGCAGGGTCAACCCTGTACAGGTCTCAATAATACTCAAATATCGGAATTTTTGCTATTAATATTGGACGAGTTGAAGAGCGACAATTGTTTTTCCTTCATAAACAATTGTCGAAAGAGATACGAAAATTCATCAATAAGGTATCTTTTGTAAAACAAATTATTAACAAAAAAACAGGATCACATTTCCCGCTGGGAGAAATTCATGATTCCTCTCTAACATAATCGACTTTTTCAACAGGAATACATACGACATATCAATTCTGATATTTCGACAATTCATCGATACTTTACTTTTTGAATATCTCTAGAAAAAACTAAAGAACGACTAAGATATTTTGATTGCGGCGTTGCCATCTAGCGCAAACTATTCTTAAAATATAACGTACATACATATAACAACATACATTTTTTATCGTTTTCTCACATGAAGAGCGTTACGACAATTACTCGACAAATATTAATAGCAAAAATTCCGATATTTCAGTATTATTGAGACCTGTTGTACAGAGGTGACCCTACTAACTTAATATCAAGTTAGCAGAGCCACCTATTTAAAAAAAAAGTTGAAGAGCGACACTTGTTTTTCATGGAAAAATTGTCGAAAAGGATACGACAATTGATCAATAAGTTGTCTTTTGTAAAAAAAAAATATAACAGGAAAACAGATCACTTTGCCTGCTGGGAGAAATTCATAATTCTTCTTTAATATATATCTACATACGATATATTAATTCTGCTGTTTCGGCGATTGAACAATACTTTTGTTTTTGATTGATCTTTATTTATAAACGATTGTCGAAAGAGATACAATTGGTCAATAGGATGCTAATTGCAAAAAATATTCGACATGATTATAAGATTACAACAATAGATGAAACAAAAAAATTTATCGATAATATCCACGTAGATACATTACAAATTTTATTTTGGCACCCTTCAATGGCAATCCTTTAAAAAAATATATGAAGAAATCAAATACGCCTGTTGCGGTGTTGCCATATGGTTCAAAATATCCATATAGTACAAGGTATGACACGAAAAACGCAATATTTTCCAAAAAAAGACGTTTCAGGAAATGAAATAGTAATGAAAGTTTTGATAATTCAGTTATATTAAAAATTTTACTACAGGTGCTGTACTAACTTTATATCAAGTTAGCAGGGCTACCCCTTATGAAAAAAGAAGATGCGCGACAATTATTTTTCTCTCACGACAAATTCTTGACAATTAAAAAAGTATATTTCAATAATTTTACTGCAAGTTGCCTTGCTAACTTTATGGAGGTGTGTTTCTTCTATTGATTAATGAAGTATTTGATGGTTACTTTCATGGTATCTCATGCAACAAAATCTAACTTGAATAAAGTGTTACTCATTATTAAAATCGATTTTTTTTTGTTATTGGTTGGCAGTATAAACAAATGTGTTTTCTACTGACTGTAAACTACTTACTTATACCCTATACTATACTTTGTTTTCAACAGAAAGTTTTAGGAATCAGTACAATTACAATTTGAGAGGGATGAAAACCGGGGGGTGTATAGTTAACGTATATACTCTCTTGAACAGACAAGTGGTATAAAAAAAAGGAAGTTTCATTTCTCATTTCTATGATGTTCTCCTACCACGTAGTAACGGCTACATTCATCAAAGTAATATCTATGGAAATAATTTCCAACTTAGCTATGAACAAAGTCATGCGAGAAATGACTAAATATATTGCAAAAGGTGCTCCACCTCATTATTTTCTACCCGTTGTTAAACGAGATATTTCCGGATAGATGGATTGGCAGAAGGGAATCAGTTGAATAGCCTCCGAGATCACCGGATTTAACACCCTTGGATTTA